CCGTACGGGTCCCTAGGGTCCCTAGGGACCCTAGGGACCCTAGGGTCCCTCGCACCCCTTACGGGAAAGGCAAGGGGTGCAGGGGGGGGTTAAATTTTTGTTGTATTTTTTCTAGAAATGAAAATAGGAGAAACCATAGCAAGTAATAATACTACACTAGTAATTATAAGCCATGAGGCACCATAAGTATAAAGAGACTGACCAATAGCTTCAATTTGTAAGAAATTAGTAAAAGCAGTATCCGCTATAACTGGACTAAATGCAGTATTAACCGGCGTAGCCGCTACAGTAGAAATTTCAGAATTTAATATTAATCCATTAAGATTAGTTAATAAATCTAATAAAGCAGAAATTGCTTTAACATTATTAAAACTGAATGGAATTATAGTAAAAATTTCATATATAAATAATGAACCAATAGCTAAGGCTAAAGGTAAATTTTTTGTATACTGAGATCCTGTTTCTAAAATATCCGTTAATTTAATATTAATCATCATAATTACAAAAAGGAATAGAACAGCAATAGCACCTACATATACAATAATATAAGAAATACCAATAAAACCTATACCTAATAAAATTAAATATCCTGCAGCATTAACAAAAACTGAAATTAAAAAAATTACAGCTATAACTGGATTTTTAGAAGTAATCACTAAAACACCTGAAAATAGAGTAGCAAAAGCTAAAAGATCAATAAGTAGATTTTTCATATTTAAATAAAATTTAAATTATATTAATAGCCTGCGTAATTAACGCTCGATTAAAATATTACCAGCTTCGCACCCCTCCCGAGACCGAGGCCGTTAGGCACCTAGCCTACCCCTAACGGGAGGCATAGGGGAAGAGGGGAAGAGGGTGCCTAAACCTCAGGCGGGTCCGCCGGCGACGTATAATACATACTTATAATATTAAATTGTTAATTAAGAATATAATATATAAACAGACAAAAGGCTCAAGACAAGAAATTAATTAATTTTAATTTCAGGTAGGTTTAACCAAGAATTAGTGACCTTTATTCGTCTTCGCTCCCTCCCGAGGCCGTTAGGCACCCGAACCCGTTAGGGGAAGGGGAAGGGGGGGGCGCTAGAAGACGGTTATAAAGGCAGGTCATGCTGCGCATCCCGTTAGGCCGGCGTAGCCGCCTACTACCCCTAGCCTTTAGGCAGGGATGCATGAGGGAGCGACGTAGTAAAAATATAATATTTAAAAAGCTTCGCTCCCTCCCTAGGCCGTTAGGGACCCGAGGCCTAGCCACCGTTGTCCCGTTGTCCCTAGCCGTCACGGCAGACGGGGGTGGGGGCGCCGTACGGCAGGGAAGAGGGGAAGGGGAAGGGAGCGAAGCATGTTTATAATTTAATTAAAATAAATATATATAAATAGCAAAATAACTATCAAAAATCGCATACTAAAATTTAGTAACGATACCCAAGAGCCGTAGGATGCCTCTGTCTTTTATACCCTCCGGGCCTTAGCCCCTCCGAGGCCTAGGCTCCCTAGGGTCCCTAGGGTCCCTAGGGAGCCGTACGGGAGCGGGGGGGGGTGGCCGGGGGGGAGTAAAAATATAAACATCTATACCGTACGGGGTTTTAATTTAATAAAATCTATGTCCCATTGTTATAGTAATACTAAATGTTCCTCTTTTGTTTTTTGTTGTAAATCTTGATTTAGATACAAGGTCAGCACTACTTCTAGTTAAACTACCAATCTGAGTAGTTTTTACTGTTCGTCGAGGTACTATTTTTTGTTTTAATAAACGACCAGCTAATTTTATTTTTAGACCAGTTAAGAAAGTAGCCGTCGAAGCATACGCAGCCAGCGTAGCCGCTGGAATTCTTGTTGTAGGATTTTTAATATTGGCATTATTAAAAATTTTATCCAATATAAAGATATAAGGTTTAAAATTAATATCACAAATTCTACCTAAATAATTAGCTAAAATATGACTATCGTGGAAAGGATATTTTAAACATACTAAATCAAGTTCTACTGGTTTTCCATATAAATTACTTAAATTAGCACATAAATTTTCTATATTTTTATTATTAAGAGCTAAGAATTTAGAATTAACTTTAGAATATCTATATACATGCGCAGCATGATTAAATAAAAAGAAAGAAAAATGTATAACTACTTTATTATGAGTAATACTATAAATAGGTTTACTAATTAAACTGGCCATTGTAAGAAATGAATTTTCTAATATAGAAGATATCATGCTGCGCATGTTTAAATTATTTTTTTTATTCGTCTTCGACGCATAAATTATATTTTGAGACTGAGCTAGATCTACATTAAAGCTTGTAAAATTATCCAAGTAATTTTTTACTTCAGTATTATTAACTATATTTTCTGTTTTTTGTACTTTTTTTAACATATCTATTACTTTAAAAGGTTTGTTAACTTCTGAATGGTTGTTATTTTTAATTTCTAATTTTTCTGTTAAGCTTCTTTTTGTAGTTAATATTAGTTCTTTTTTGTCTAGTGTTGTTGAACCTGCGCTGGTTAAATTTAAACTATATTTTGTTAATTGATTTAATTTTAAATTTAAATTTTTTTTATCTTTATTTAGATTAATATTTAAATTTTTAAATTGATTTGATTTTAGCATCCCGTCATGCAAAGCATGCGACGTATTTTGTATTTGTTCTTGAAAAAAAGGTAAACCTTTAACTAAATTAGATCCCATATTTTTTATGTATTATAATAATAATTTATAAACGAAACGAAAGCTAAATAATTTTTATAGTATGTATAAAATAAAATTTATTTAGCTATTTAATAATCCACTATATATAATATACATACGTTTTATTTTTGATTATAATGTTTAATATAAGGGATACTTATCTTATATATGATTATTAAATTAAAAGCTAATCAGTAAGAATAGATATTAAATATCAAAGAAATTAATTTAATTTATAATATAATAGCATGCGCAGCATGCGAATACGAGTACCCATTATAACTTAAAAAATCTCTTTATTAGCGTTCTTTTAAAAAACAAACCCTAGCCTATCCCGAGGCCGTGACGGCACCCTAGCCTACCCCTAACGGGAGGCATAGGGGAAAGGGGTGCGACGGGTG